ACTCTACACTTGCCCTTGTTGTATTTCATTAGAATTCTCCCCCAGTTTTGTTTGCTCTCATATTTCACAGACTGACAAAGCAGATACTCTTTGGTAGTTGAGAATATGTGGGTTTGGATAACAGTGATGATCAGGTGTTCCTTCTCAGGGATTAATACAGATACAGTGTTGAGCACATTTCCAATGTTATTGACTAAACTTTTGCATCACAGAAATGTGGTTTTGCCTAGAGGGTGTAAAGAAAACCAGAAGTTGAGCCAGAAAGTAATGAAGTATATATGTCATGATATTGAGTTATTCCTGACCACAGGGTATCTGTGCCAAGAGTTCTCAGTACTGCTACTTAATGGTGGAGATTCTTCTGTGACTCAATTTTTTTGGTGTGCCTGCGATTTCTGCCTGCCAGTGATTAGCATTTATTCTGTGGAAGTATCCGAGAACCAAGGGTCAGGGTCAATTTAGATGAGAAGTTTTAGAGATAAGCCTTCCACTTCAGGCCACACAGTTTATGACCAAATCAGAGAAAACATGAAATAAGAAAGAGGCAAAAGGAGTAATTAAGGGTAATAGGAGAGAGGAGAAATGGTGGCTGTATCTTTACAGAACAGAGTATGTTTACATATATTAGAAATATGAGCAATGCTGTCTGTTAAATATGACTATGGTTTCTTTGCAGTCTCTCTCTGCATCCTGGTGACCCCAGCAGGTAGCCCTGGCTGAAGTGGGTGTCTTCCAGGGACATTTCCTCATGCCCTTGCCCTTAACCTGTTTTGAAGTGCTGTTGTATGAGGATGACCTGATGCACAGGTGCGAAGTGGCTTCCCTGCAGTTCCCCCAAATGTGATATCTATGTTGCTTTCTCATTGCAGATAGGAATCCTTGGCCCGCCGGGACAGCAGGCACCCCCTCCGTATCCCGGCCAGAGCCCAGCAAGTCAGACAGTCATGCAGCAGCCCACAACTCCCATGTTCGTCTCCCCTCCACCAAAGACACAGAGGCTTCTTCATTCTGAAGCCTATCTGAAATACATTGAGGGGCTTAGTGCTGAATCAAATAGTATTAGCAAGTGGGACCAGACCCTTGCAGGTAAGGCTTTTGATACAGAGTGGGATGTTTCTACACAGAACACAATTCTTTGTAACCTTTTTTTTTTTCTTTGCTTATATGGAAAATGCTAAATAAATCTGCTGTTTAGTTAATAAAATGTACATATGCGAGTAACTGTTAAAAACAAATCAACAACCTGGGAATATAGATGTTATCAGCAAGCTAATTCCGTTGACGTATAAATCTAAGAATCAATTGTATGCCCTTAAACGCTAGGGGTAGGAGTTATACTTTAGAATTATATTAGTGTTTTTCTAGAAAAATCGTGGTGAATATCAAAGCAGTAGATAACTGGACCGTTTCTTCTCCAGCACGAAGACGAGATGTCCACCTATCGAAAGAACAAGAGAGTCGACTCCCTTCACACTGGTTGAAAAGCAAAGGGGCACATACCACAATGGCCGACGCGTTGTGGCGGCTGCGAGACTTGATGCTACGAGACACCCTTAACATCCGCCAGGCATACAACATAGAAAATGTTTAGTCACGTAATTGCTTCTTTCTTTGATACCGGCGTATAAGGAGTTTTGTGGAAAAATAGCTGTTTTAGTTACTGGGTGGGGAGAGATAACCAACAATAATTTCTATTGCATTTTACTGTACATTGCAAAACCATTTTTATATAAGGACACTTTTAATAAGCATATTTCACTTTTTGTTATATTAAGTTGACTATATCAAATACACAGATTTTTGCATATGTTTCCTTTGTTTGAAAGGCGATTTCATAATTGGTTAAGTGTAGTCAAGGATTCATCTTTCTTATACTTTATTGCTGAGAACCTGATGCCATTGTTTTTATATAAAAGAAGAAAAAAGAAAACAAAGTCTTTACTGATTGGTACAATGGAATGTGAAATTAGTCATAGTTTACATCTTAGAAGAAGAATGTGTGTATATGTGCTTGTGTGTGCTAGCCACTTCAGCAGAACTCTTGCTTGGATGTGAACAGGGAGATTCTTGTAAAAGAAGCTAAAGGTAAGATGTGCATTGACACGAGGGAAAACCAACATTTCAAATCAATACCAAGGCAGCTGAGCGGGCCACAGCAGTCATGGAAGTACTGGTGTGGACGGGATAAGGGTGTCTTGACCGCTAATGTTGTCCAGTCCTGTCCAGTTATTTAATTGTGTGGGCCATTGTGATCCTAAATCAGTAACAGAATGCATGTGCTGGCATGCCCTTAGGAGGTGAAATGTTTCATCTGCCGTGACCTGCCTTGGGGGTTCTGTGATGGCCCCAGCACCGAGCAGTGGGAAGGGGAAGCTTCCTTCCACAGCAATTCTGTCTGCGTGTGGGAAAGGCACGCAGAACTTTGAACCATTTCAGGTCTTGGAAGGTAAGTTAGAGGAGAGGGAAAGTTGTTCTGGTAGTGAAGTAATGTGACGTTTTTGAATTTATCCGTATTCTGTTAATGATTGGGCATTGCAAGACGTTTCTGTATGCTTGCTTTAAGTGTATTGATTCACCTTAATGAAAGTTTTGCAATGCAGAAGTTGAGAAAGTTGACACTTAAATTAACTTTAAAGTAAAATACTACTGTATGGTGTGCGTAAGCTCGGCATACCTAGAACATTGGAGAATAGAGTACTTGCATTGCAGTCTTCAGAGGACTTGGGGTTTTTGTGTTGGTTTGGTTTTTAGCTAAGAAAGGTAGGTATAGACTCTTCTTGCCAAATTTCAAGGTTGTGGCTGCCTTCTGCTAAAGATTTGTCTGTCCTCATAACTAACTAACCTTTTGGACTGCAAAGATATTTGGTTAAAGGTAAATCTTTTCATGTACTTAATTTTAGAAAAAGAATTAATACTTTTAGATTGCATTAAGTAGCTGGGAAAGCAATACTAATTAAAAAAAAAAGTTGGCAGGAACATGGCCACCGCAACTCAGTCCAAAAGAAGTGAGTTACTGATACACTTTCATCTTACTGCTAGAGATCTTCATCATGTGGAAGTGTTTTTTGAAGTCTGATAGTACAGAACATATTTGAGTACATGTAGAAGAAGGTTAAATACTTCTCTTCAGATATTCGATATCTTGGGTTCTGTTCTGCTGATATAATTAATAATGATGAGGGAAGTGACATGTGCAAGTATAAACTGTTATTTCATTTTACTGGCTAACTTCTCTCCCTCTCCTATGGCAATCCTCCAGTCATTGCACAGGAAACCATGTAATTGCAAATAGGCACTTAAGAACAGGTGAGGTCAGATGCGCAGTGGATGTGAGGAAGGTGGAGCTAAGCAACATACAGGGAAGTTACAAGTTTGAGCTCTACAAGTAGCACACCTGTGGTACAGAAATTCTTTACTGGCCTTTGTAAATGACCAAGTTTATTTAATAACGTAGAAACTGAATAGTCTTAGACCCCCATATATACAGTATCTTTAAAATGTGTTTAAATTTCCATAAGCTTTGCAATTTTTAGCCACAAAGATGGGTTGTTGAAGCGAATCAGGCAGCAAATCCTCGTTTTTGGGTACTTGGAACTATCATGGATTGTACTAATACACCACCAGATTCTCCTACTTCTCAGCATTAACAAAAATTACACCAAAGAACCTGGGATGGATTTTAGTTAAGTTATTGTTTTATTTATTTTCTTTTAAGGACTGGATGGGACTCCCTTTGGAGCCTGTATAACTCGCGTGTTTAATTTATCTGAAGGTCAGTGACGAGCAGACTTGCAGCACTGGCTCTCTCCTGCCTGAGCAGCTGAAGCCCTACTTGCACTGCTCTGCCCGGCCCAGGAGCAAGAGATTGGAAGTGCAAACAAAACCTGGGTCCTCCTGCAAGGCAGTGCAGAGCACTACCACTAAGCCACTGGGCTGGCCCTAATCAATTATTTTAAGCTTTGTTTATTTATTTCAAAATCATGTCTCTGTATAGTGGAGGCATTTCAGTTGACTGCAGTACAATTTAGGATATAATGGCTACAGTCTGGAATTCAAAACAAGTGAAAGAAGCTGTTTTCTGACTGTTTTAAAACAAAAAAACAACCAAACACCAAAACATGTCTGTCTCTCTTTCTCTCTCTTTGTGGGTGTTTGAACCCCTCATTTGTTTTCCATGCCATTCATTGTACTGGCGTAAGCAGAACTTTCATATTGAAATAACAGCGTGTGTGGGAAATGGTTTGGTTTTGTGAGAGTGGAAAATAGATAAACCTAGGACCGGTATTTTGCTAAACCAGTTGGAGACAACTAACAATTATTTGTTCTCTTCCTCAGTCCTTCCCCTACATGAGAAAATTTACTGTTTGTGTAAAAATTCAAGATGTTGATGTTGGTGACTTTTTTTTCAGCGTATGTTTTTGGACCTGGTTAATCCATGCTTGGCTTTTCATTAGATCTTGTACTCCTGAAGGTTAAGCTGCTAACCAGGTTTATAACATGTATGTACCATCACCTTGTTTACCTGAGTCTTTTTAATTTGAATAAAAATAGTTTGCAAAGTGTTTTGGATTAACCAGGTTTGAGTGTCCCATCAAGACTTCTGTTAGGATTTTCTTTTAAGTAATTCTGGCTGTTGCTGATCCAGATTTTTCTCAAGTCCTTGGTATGTGTGTGCTTGTGTGTGGGTAAATAATGCTTTTTATATTGTCCTGTGTATTGCAAGATGTGCCTGGTAGGTGATAAGAACAGTGATGCTGCAAAGTGTGGTTGAAGATTGAGCCATAAGGAGCATGAGCAGTAAACCTTGACAAATATGTGACGCATTGGGAGCAAGCTGAGTGGTGATTATAAGATTCGGTCAGTCCCAGATGTCCCCACGTTCATTGCTTTTAAAATAAACAGCAAGCCTTAATTTCATACTGGAAGCTAAGCTGGCTCAGGATTGTCTTTTATGTAGCTGTGTAATAAAGGAGATTAGAACAGAGATATGGAAAAAGCATCTTTTGCACAATAAAGTTAGAAACCAGGATAGATATTTTCTTTAACACCACAAACTACAAGAAAAATCAAGTGGTAGCAACCTCTCAAGTCTCAAGGTGCCTCTGACATAAAATTAACGAAGAGCTATTTAAACAACGAGGCAGACAGAATTCTGTTTCATTTAGACACATCCATGACTTCAGCCCGGGAGATAAATGCTGCTTTTCACAGAGGCTGCCAGCTTTACGCAACCTCCACCTTTCTGAGATTTGATGGGACAGGTTAAACAGAGCAGGCTCATTCTGATCGTCCTCCACATCTTGTTTGCTCAGCCTGAGATACTGAATGTAATTCATAGATGTACGTAGCTGCCTCTTGGCTGCAAATGCACTAAACTGGAGCCGTGTTTCAAAATGGCTGGGTGCTCTGAACAGCAAGTAAAAAATGGGCTCTGACTTAGCGATATATGTGAAATTTTCTGATTAATAAAATAAAACTTCAATTAAAAACAAAATTAAATTATTAATTCAATTAAAATATTAATTTCAATTCATTAATTCAATTTCAATTAATCAATTAATTTCAATTTAAAATATTAATTCCATTAAAATAAAACTTTCCGTCCCCTCTGCTCTGCCCTGGTGAGACCCCATC